GGCGGCGGGCTCGGCAGGGAGGTCGGCGCCGGGGCTGGGAGACGCGCTCCGGCCAGTGCGCCCCGTCAACGGCTTCTCCGACCGAACCCCGTGAGAAACAGTCGGAATCACCCCAAAAAGCGAACGAAAGAAAGACGCCGAGCGGGGGAAAGGCTCGCAGAGCGCAAGCAGCCCGGAGCGAGCGGACGAGGAGGGGCAGAGGTGATGCCACACAGATGCCGGTCCCAAATGCGCCTGGAGGAGCGGGGTTCTTCTTGAGGAGAGCCGGCACCTTTGCAAGAGCTTTAAAAAATATATATCTTAAATTAAATAGGCGTGTTGTCACCGAAGGAAAACCACTGCCTTAGCCATGGGGCTTTCACCAAGACAGCCAAGTTCCCTCTTGGGCAGAGCAGAGAGTCTCGAAGTCTGCTTGACATCTTGAAGCTTAAATAACCGTAAGGCATTGTTACTCCCTGGCAGCAAAGTGCCTCGTTACGCCTGATTGAGCTAATTGCTTTGAAATAGGATATATTATCTATAATTATAGAGATCTTGGAGGAGACGGCCAGCCTTTTCTTTCATCTTTTCCAAGTGCATCATAATGTCGCGATCACATTAATTCGGGCCACTTGAAATAGTGCCTTCCTTTCAGCCCTGCTCCTCCGATCCTCAAAGAACCGGGGGACGCCTCGGCGGCTGGAGTTTGGCCATCCAAATCACCGCTCCCGGTAACCTCCCGAGGACTAGCCCAGGTGCCTGAAGCCTTACAAGTAGTTTAGCTTATGTTTGATCTGGGCAGAAAGGGAAAGGGGGAAAGGAAGGGGGGCGAAGGAAAGAACGGAGGTCTTTTCGCATTATCCGAAGCTCAACAGAGAAGGAGCAGCGGCGGGAGTAGGGAGGGTTGAGACTTGAAGGGTTTTGAGGGCTTGTAAAGCCCGCGGGACATTTTTATCACTTTGCGATAGATCTGGCTCTTTGGGAAGTTTCCCTCAGGGATGAGGAGCTCAGAGCTGGAGCAAAGCTGGCTGAGGGGCGCGCAGGGAGCGCGCAGGGAGCGCGCAGGCGGTGCCCGGCGCGGCAGAGCTGTCCCGGAGCCTCCAGTCCCCAAAAGCCTCCTCGTGTCCTGCGGGGCTGTCTGGTCTCCTAAGAGTTGCTGTCTCGGGGGAAGTAAAATAGAAACAAGGGAAACAACAACATCCCTCTCTTTTCTGACTTCTGCCTTTAAGTCAAAGATAACGTTTACAAAAGGCAGACAATGCCCTGAATTGGCTTAGCGCTGCCTCCTGTCCTCCCTCCCCATCCCCCACGCCCTCCTCCCAGCCCTTGTTGTTGTATTCCCACCGAAATAAAATGCTATGGGTAATGGCTTTGCCTAGCACATTCATTATATTGAAACGGGACTGTTTAGGATGCTAATTGCCCAATATTGTTATCTCACACAAGTGCCTTCAGGGAAGCGCCGCGGTTCCCAATAAAAACACTGGACTGGAACAAGGACCAGTAAAGTCACCTACTCTCCCCCGCCCTTTCACTTCGGTTTTCCTTACAGCCCATGGAGGAAAATAAGAAAGAGGCACCTAAAAGCAAGTCAGAGTACCGGCACAACGGAACCAATAAAAAAAAAAAAAATAAGGTTCCTAAAATCTAGTGGTGTTGTGGTCACCCAGAGCGCAGCGAGCAAGGCGAGAAGGGTTTGGATACGAAAAGTTCCCGCTAAACAAAGAAATATAACTCAGGGCAGATTTCGTTTTGTAAATTTGATTTCTCCATTCCTAACTTAGAACCTGTAGATTTCATTAAGAAAGGAAGGAAAGAATGAAAGGCGCAAGAAACGAAAGAAACTTTATTGGCTTCCCGTTTTCAGCCCAAGAGCTTGCCAGCGTGTGAATTAGAATCAAGTCCTTGCTATGGTACAGTGATTAAAATACCACCGAGTATGACAGAAACGTAAACACAAAGCGTTCATTGCTGGGAGATAAATAAAGAGCTAATTATCTCATTCTGTCAGCTCTCAATGAGAGCGGGATCTCGCTCTCAGTATGGGACGCACACTCATCTCCTCAAACCTCAGCGACATCCCAATGTTCAAACCATTCTGCAAAAGAAAAGTGGGGGAAAAAAAACCAAACAAACAACCCAGCAGCTCTATTTTTCCTTTCATATTTCCATCAAAACAATCAGATCGAAAGCAGCCTAGGGGCTGCCTGGACGTTTAATAAATACATCACTTTTTCTTCTGCGCGGTTGCGTTTGGAATCAGGGAAAAAAAAAAAAAAAAAAAGGATCCTACCTGTAGGATCGGGTGGAGGGGACACCGTGAAACACGATGCATCGATATTTGTGCGTGTTTTCTTGGTCGGGGGGTGGGGTGGGGGTGCATCTTCGCGTCAAGCACCGGACTTTGGGAAAATGTCGTGTGACTGGTAGAGCAAACTAATTTTGTCAGGCTGAATGTGCCGATGTCCCAGGGCTAAGGCGCCTTGCTCCCTTGATGCGGGTTAACGTCCTCAATAGTCCCCCTCCAGCTGAAGCCTTTGATCAGACCGCTGCTGGCGCCTAAAAACAACATCACTTGTCTGCCTATTAGAGGCACTGACTAATCGTGACAGATTGTTTATTCTCGCAATTAGCAATGCAGCC